AATGTTTGTTTGCTTGTTTGAAGCAGTGCTGTGACTCAGACCATGGTCAAGGATTTACCTTGATCACACTAGGTAAACACTCTACCACTGATCCACATCCCTAACCTGTATTTTTTATTTATGTGTATGCATATGAGTCTGTCTGTGTGTATGAATGTGTATGTGTATGCCCACAGGGCCCAGGAGACATTGTAAGATCTCCTGAAGTTAGGGTTCCAGGTGGTTGTGAGCTGCATGATGTGGGTTCTGGGAGCTGAACTCAGGTCCTCTGTAAGAGCAAGAATTCTTTTTTTTTTTTTTTTTTTTTTGGTTATTCAAGATAGGGTTTCTCTGTGTAGCTTTGCGCCTTTCCTGGAACTCACTTGGTAGTCCAGGCTGGCCTCAAACTCACAGAGATCCGCCTGCCTCTGCCTCCCGAGTGCTGGGATTAAAGGCATGCGCCACCACCGCCCGGCCAGAGCAAGAAGCCAGAGCAAGAATTCTTATTACTGTGTGGAACCATCTTTTCAGCCTCAGATCCTTGTTTTTAGGGCATACACAATGAAGTATTACTGAGTAATAGGAAGTCTTTTCTGAGATTTGAGAGTTCAAATGACTTTAAAAATGTATGTGTATATACATGTAGATGTGTGTGACATAAAGGCAGGAGAGGTCAACGACCGAGAAGCCCGGTGAAGGGAAAACAGTTCTGCAGGCTTTTTCTTCAAACTCTTCTGTAAGTACAAGTTATTTCAAAAGAAAAAAGAACTAGTTACAGAAGGGTTGTAGGTGTGACAGAGTCAAGGAGGGAGTGGGAACTCGAACAGAAGTTATGTAGGAAACTCACCAGAGTTGAGTCACAGGACCTTCCTGACAAGGAAGACCACAGGGTAGAGGGAAGATGGTGCTGATGTGTAAACCCCTGCCACAAGTCAGTCAGGACGTCACTGCAGCTCCTGAGCAGAAGCTACAACACCTTCTTAGGGTGGACACAGAAATGGGGAAATCACTTCATGAATGTAAGGACAGCTTAGCCCAGCTTGTCACACAGGTGGCTTTCGGGGACTTGCTTCTTGCCACCTTCCTAGAGACTGGCTTGTGGACCTCCTTCTGCTGCTTGGCTATTTGTCCAGCAGGCACTGCCAGAATGTTCCCTGGACAGGCAGACTGCTGAGGAGATGAGAGCACAGACCCCATTCCTGACCCCATATGAGCCTGCAACACTGATGAGGCCACCTTCCCACACAGGCATCCTGAACAGGACCCGAGAGGGAGCAGGGCAGGCCCGAGTCCCTGAACGTCACTTGCTGTGGGCCAAGGGGCCTCTCACCATTGTGTTTCACTCCCATCAAAGCCTATGAGATGGGCTGATGAACCGTGCTGCAAACAGGACAAGACAGAATGGAAGGGGTTAAGTAGCATGCTGGAGGCTCCAGGCTGGTGAGTGCAGACTGGAATCCAGGTCCTTCTGACATCCAGACTCCTGCTTTCTGCTCCATTGGGCTCTGTCACCTGAGAGCTTGTGAAAGGTCTGTAACTCTCCTCCCTTGCAGATTGGAGTCTGGGGTATGGTGAGAGAAGTGACTGTCCACATCAGTCTAATCTGAGCTGGTTCGTTCTCTCTCTCTCTCTCTCTCTCTCTCTCTCTCTCTCTCTCTCTCTTCAGGATTCTCTGACCAAAGGGAAAAATGGATCCTAAAAGTCCCTTGAAATCATGCTCAAAATTACTATGTGTGCATAACTAATTGTTTTTACAAGAAGTCTATCTATGGCTTACTATTTATTTGTTTGTTTACTTATTTATGATACTGGGGATTGAACCAGAACCTTGTACATGTTAGGCAAGTACTCCAGCACTAAGCTATATCCCTGCCTCTTTTTTTTTTTTTTTTTTTTTCTTTCCAAGACAGGGTTTCTCTGTGTAGTTTTGGTGCCTGTCCTGAATCTCGCACTGTAGCCCAGGCTAGCCTGGAACTCACAGAGATCTGCCTGGCTCTGCCTCCCGAGTGCTGAGATTAAAGGCGTGCACCACCACCACCCGGCTACATTGTATTTTTGAGGCAAGGTCTCACTAAGTTGCCCAGGCTGGACGTGAACTCATTCTGTAACCTAGGCAGGCCTTGAATTTGCCATCTCTCTGCCCTCTGAGTAGCTGGGATTATAGGCCCATGCCTCCAGGATTTTTAAAGGCTCTATGACTTGTCAGAGGTTAATAAGCACTGCAGGCATCATGTCTGAGTGCTCTGACAGGAGAGGAGATGGAGGTCTTCCTCTCTCTTCTGCTTCAGGCCCCTGCTCTGCGTTACCGTGTGACTGCAGTGCAGTCCTGTAGCCCCTTCCCCAGAGGTGCCCCCCCTCCAGTGCTTGAAAACATTCTAGGAGGGCAAATGCCAGCCAAAAAGCCAGTGTCGCATCTTCCATAGACTGAGAGGCCCTAAGGAGGGAGGCCTGGCTCTTTGCCAAAGCATCATGAGCAACACGCAGACTTTGATGAGTCAGGTCCATGCAAAAGTAGACAATAGAATTATAAGCGAGAAAAGAGACTCTTAAGACCAGGAAGGTCTGGGCCAAATAGCTTTTGGGTCCTTTTGAAAAGAGAATTCTAGGACCATATATGGGTTGATGGCTAGGGAGACGCTCAGTTGATTAAGTGCTTATCACACAAGCATGAAGACCTGAGTTTGAGCCCTAGAATCTATATTAAACAAACCCAGGTGTGGCGGCATACATGTACAATCCCAGCACTGGAGAGGTGAGACTAGAGGATCCTCGGGGCCCACTGTCAAATCAGCCTAGTCTACTCATTAAGTGCCAGGCAGTGTGAGAGACCTTGCCTCAAAAAAATAAGGTGACATCTCCTGAGAAATGACACCAAGACACACACACACACACACACACACACCAGGATAGGGGGAGTGGTGCTGGGGTGCTTTCAAGAACAAAGTAGTAATAGTAACTGCTTCCCTCTGTGAGCCTGGTGGACACACCCCAAGGGCAGGGAGGAAGCCCAGCCTTCTCAAAACAGCTTTCTTTTTCCCCCGGTGTGAGGTGAGTTCCTTTTGTTAACAATGGAAGGTCCTTCACAAAGTTTATATTCTGGATAAAAGAAAAGGTAAGGGGTTTGTGCCTGCAAGATCAAGTAGATGGACATGATGTGCTCCTGTAGTGATCTACTCAAAACATTCTTCTCTTCTTCCTGCTCATCCTGAAGCAGGCCTGGAGATAGGGAGTTGCTCACCCAGGACAGAAGCATTAGAAAGGAAAAAGGAAAAGAAAGACAAAGGAGAACAAAGGCAAAGGGGCCCAAGTGTTTCCCAGAGAAGGACCTCAAGGCCTTCCTTCCTCACAGCTGTAGCCAGTTTCCTGTGTGTGTTCTCCTGTGTGAGCTGCAGTCTGTCTTCCCATGTGTGTCCTTGGAGACCTTGTAACCTGGTCCAGCCTGTGTCCTCAACTTTCCCAAAGCCTGCTGTCCAGTGACTTTAATAGTGAGTGACTCTGGCCATATACAAAGATGAGGAGGGCCTCCCTCCTTTGTGAATAGCTTCCTGTGAACAAGGTACCCTAGATCATCAACATCCACTTCTGGCTGTGAGGAAACTCGGCTGGGAGGGACCTGGCTTGTGAAAATGTATGGAGTCTGTAAGTCTGTGAAAAAGCATGTGTGTTACATGGATAATTCCAAGTCCATAACTGATACAAACAAATGCGGAAGAAGGTAGAACTTCCCTACAGTAGAATTCCAATTAGAAAGTGGAGAAGAAATGATGGGAACAGAAGGTCAATCTTAGACAGTGAGAACTGCAGGCAAGAATCAACAAACCCTGCTAACATGAGCCAACACGACAACAAGAAACAGGATGCTCCCCCAGTCTCAAACCATTCCCTGCAAGACACTTAAAGAAAGAAAACTGTAACTTGACAGTGGAGAAGGCTGGCAGGCTTCACCGTAGCCAACAGAGTCAACATCAGCAGTTGACTGAGCCCGAGAAGGATGCAACACCCCTGACTTTGTCGTGTGGGCACATGGTCTCACACAAGCAGCTCAGACTGGCTCCAAACTTGAAACTGTCCCGCCCCCACCTCCTAAGCCATGGATTATAGTGTGTGCTATCATGTCAGCTCACAGCTTAGGCTTAAGAAAGACAATACATTAATAGATATGGTGTGTGTAGTTCCAGTAGTCAGAGAGCTGAGGCGGGAGGATCACTTGACCCCAGGAGTTTGAGAGCAGCCTGGGCGACACAGAAACTGTTTCAAAAGAGGGGGTGTGGCGGGGGCACAGCATCGGGCAAATGGAAACTGACAGCATCTCACAAGCATCTGAAACATTTGGTCAACCCTCTAACAATGTCAAGGTGAGAAAGACTAAGAAAAACAAGGAAGTCAGGCTGAAAGGAGACTCCAGAGACCACAGCTAATTTCATGATTATTAGGTCCTGGACCAGAAAAAGGATCAATCTTACTTTCTGAATTAGGTAATTGTATTTACATTAAGATATTTCCAGGCCTGGGGAAGGCTAGCGGAGAATTTTTGTGCTGTTTTAAATTTTTTTTGACAGTCAAAATTACCTCACAATGAAAAGCCATATTATAATTGAAAGCACATACTTCAGGAACTAGGCTTTCTTAGAATGTCTGGGTGCCCGACACTTTGTGGGGTGATGTGCAGTCAGCCCTCAAAAGCTTAGCATCCACATGGGGGTGGGGGTGGGAGGTGTTCAGAGCCACATGGAGGCTTATACAGCCAAGCTCAGGCAGCTTAAGTTTATGAGGAAAATATGCCAGGGTAGTGGCACATACCTTTAGTCTCAGCAGCTGGGAGGCAGAGGCAGGCAGATCTCTGTGAGTTAGCCAAAGCTACATATCCTGTCTCGAATGAACAAATTATAGACAAAATAAACAGTCACAGAGAATATACAATGATATCCTCAATGAGCTCAAGAAGGGGTTGTCCTTGTGTAGGATCCAACAATCAGAGGCTAGAAACACAGGCAGGAAACAGCAGAACGCTCGTCACTCACTTGTCCTGGGACTCAATGTACACGTAGAGGTGAGGCTCAAAACACTTGGAAACAATGCCATGAAATGGATTGTCTGGGGCCTTGGGCTTCTTTGGCTGGAAAGAGAGGAGGGAAAAATATGAATGAACATGAACCCTATGTTTGAGCAACTTCTGCAAGTTTTTAAGCAATTTCAAAGAAAACATCCAAGTTCACTCTTAGCTCACAGACAGGAGCAGTGGACACAGGGCTGCGTCAGTCACATCATGATCCATCTGGTGAGCCACCACCAGCTCTCACCCGCATCTCTGACTTGCTGTGTGTGATGGAAGATTTACTGCTATGCCGATATTGCATGCATCTTTTATTTGGAAGCTCATCATCAGTGGATGTTTTCAAACGTTAAATCCGGGCTGAATTTCAAGAACACTTTGTATTGGTAGTCTCTGCTCCTTGTTATTATAATCCTGATGCTTGGCACCTTCTCATCGTTCCTTCCCGGCAGTCTTACCACTCCTACTACACAGCCTGGGCACCAGAGGCGCTGAGCTCCTCCACCAGCAGTCCCAAGGCACGTCCCAAAAGGACTCTGAGCCAAAGATATAGAGTTCAAGCTTAACACAAGCCATGCTTGCAAGACACTTGTTGGTTAGAACCTTGTACCCTTTTCTTCCTTTTTGTAGCTCTGGAGATCACTCCGAGGTCTTGCACACTAGCAAGCATTCTCCCAACACGCTCCATTAACTAGCTTAATGAGGAACAACTACTGCATACAAGCAAGCAAGCTTAAGCTGGCCATCCTGCTGTACTCCTGCTACCTCAGCACTTCAGAGCAACAGGAGCTGAAGTCTGAGGCTAGCTTGGGCTACAAAACGAGATAACTATCCCAGGGGAAAAAAGGACTAGAGATATGGTTCCATTGGTATATTAAACAAAACAAAACAAAAAACCTATACAGAGGAGACACACACACAGTGCATAATGTACACACCACACTAAATTCAGAGATAGGCATACATTTGTGAAATTAATACTGCCATCAAAGCTCCTCCTTTCTCTCACCTCCATTTTGATTATGAATATGAATATGATGATGATTAGTGGTAAGGACACTTTATATAAGCCTACACTCTTAAACTGCTTCTATTTTAATGAGCACTAAAAAAAGCTAGGTGTGGTGGCACATACTAGCTACATGGGAGACAGAGGCAGGAGAACAGTTTGAGGCCACAGCTTGAGAACAACCCTGCCAATACGGTGATACCCTGTCTCAACAAACAAAGTCTGGGGCAGTGAGCGGGCTCAGCAGACAGGACACTTAGCACCAAGGCTGACAACATGTGTGCTCCCCAGAGCCCACACCGTGGAAGAAGAGAACCAACTCTCAAGTTGTCCTTTGACCTCCAGACAAGTATCAAGGTATGTGTTCCCTTCCCTACACTCTAGATAAATAAAAAAAGATAAAGAAATTCTAAGACTAAAAATAACTGCCAAGTACTGGGAAAGCTACCATCCAGTGATAGACAAAAACACATCTACCTTATCTTAGCATCTGGTTACTTACAAACCACTGTAATGGGTTAAAATTGTCTTTTAGCTGATGTAGTGGCTCATGTCTTTAATCTCAGGCAGATCTCTGTGAGTTCTAGGCCATCCTGGTCTACAGAATAAGCTCTAGGCCAGTCAAGGCTACATAGAGAGAGCCTGTCTCAAAAACAAAAAACCAAAAACCCCAAACATTTAAAAATGAATAATTTTCAACAAAAATTAAATGTTGCTGTGTGTGGTGGATCACGTCTTTAGTTCCAGCATTTGGGAGGCAGATACAGGGGGATTTCTATTGAGTTCTGGGCTAGCCAAGACTATAGAAAGAAAAAACAAAGGTCAACATTACATGCATCCTATAATTTCATCTTTCTTTCACCTTCCATGAGTTTCATGTTTTAAAATTTTAGGCTAGATTTCGAGAAACTCTTTTTCTGGTTTTGTTTTTTAAGACAGAGTCTCACTGTGTATCCCAGAAAATGCTCCTAGCTCTACCTCCTAAGTACTGAAATTACAGGGATATGCCACCACAAATCACACCTGTTCAAATCTCTGGTCCTTCTTAATGATACATTGTCTTCTGGAAACCACTGCCAATGCTGGGCCCCAGGTTGGACTTTGAGAGGGTCGCTGGGAAAGCAGAGGGCTTTATCCAGTCCACAGCTGGTCCCCTCACAGCACAGATGCCGGGAGCTATTTCTGCTTCTACTAGTTTAACACAGATGACCCAGCACGGAGCAGGAAGGCTGTGAGGAATGATTCTCACCCTTTCTTCTGTGTGTGCAGGGTGTTCACCTGTGTGGGGTGGCAGAGGTAGATTTGGGATGTCTATCGCTTCCCACCGTGTTTTCTTTCTGAGAGAGCCACCCCTCAGTGAACCCTGAGTTCGCCATTTCAGCTAGACTTGGTGGCCAGCAAAGCCTCTGGATCCACCTGCCTTTGCTCCGCCAGTGCTGAAGCTACAGGTGGGCACAGCACATCTCACTTTTATATGGGGCTGGGGGCTGAACTCAGGTCTTTGTGCCTCTGCAGCAAGACTTTTACCTGCTGGGCCATCTCTCCAGACCCCATTCTCTCTGTTTTCTTATTGTATTATTTTTGATAAGGTATTTTGTTAATAATACAGAAAAATGTGATTCAATCTGTCTTTGTAGGACTAGATAGCCTGACTGTAGATTGGGGAATTGTGGTATCCTAGCCAGGTATCTGTTCAGTGATTAAAATATAACCATTAGTATTATTCCCTTCTCTGTGTGTGTTGAGGAGGTGCATGTTCATGTAGCTGTGCTGCACAAGCTGGGGAGAAGTGTGGAAACGAGGATAACCTAGGGAGTCGTTCTCAGGTGCCTCCCACCTTTTGGACTGCAGCTTTGTCAAGCAGGCTAGGCTAGCCCCCGGTGGCCGCCAGGGACCTGTCTGTTTCAGCCTCGTCTCCCACGCCTGGGATTAGAGGTGCTTCCCACCACAGCCAGCTTTTTACATGGATTCTGGAGATCCAAATTCAGGCCCTCATACTTACAAAGGCGAGGGCTTTACTAACTAGGATCCCTCCCTAACCTGCACTGCTCATCTTGTCCTTTGTTTTGCTTATTATTATTATTATCTATTTATTGTTGTTGTCGTTATTATTATTAGTGGGGGGGCAAGTTTATGGAAGTCAGAGGACAACTTTGTGGAGTCAGTTTTCTCCTTCCATCTGTAACATACCCCCAGAACTTAGTACAATTGACTCCATAGTGGAAGTACCATTCAGGCCATAAAACTCGGCATGTGGACACCATCACCAGCCAAACAAAGATAAAAACCCAAAGTCTCTAAATGTACCATCCTTGCTTTTTGGCTTCTGCTTCTGGCTAACAGTTCTTATTAACAGAAGTATGTCAAGCAAGGATGTGGGTTTTTTTTTTCTTAATTTAATTTTATATTTATTTATTTAGCTTCAAAGCTCATCCTGGGGAAGACACTCAGGGCTATACTCGGATCCCTAACACCCAGTGTTATCAGCTGACTACTCTAGTAAAGACTTTATATTGGCTTAAACCCATGTCGAAGTAGTCTTTTCTAGTGGATCCCCCACAAAACATCTTTACACGGGTTCTGGGGACTGAACTCAATTTGTCAGGCTTGCACAGAGGCACCTTTACTCAGTGAGCCATTCTTACTGGCTCATTTTGTTTGGTTTGAGACAGGGCCTTGAACTATGTATTGCAGCCTGGCCTTGAACTACAATCCTCCAGCTTTAACTTCCTCAGTGCCAGGTTTACAAGTCATCTAGCATGATCTTCACAGGTGCTATGCATGGCAAGGCCCCACAGAATGCACAAAAAGCTGCATTACCAGACAGGCAGGTGTCCCATCTCCACTTAGGTAACTGACCTACCTCTGTCTTGTCCATCATTGGTCCTGCCACAGTACTGAGCTCCTTCCTATTGGTGAGTTTTTATCACAAGCTGAAGCAAGATGGGGATAACAGGAGGGACTGCCCAGATTTCTTCCTCTTACTCCTTGTCCACAGGGCTGCCCCTGCCCACAGCTGCTCTATTATGTGCTCATGTATAGCGAGGAGGTGCTGGAATTCCAGCCCTTACTGGTGTCTCCCTTTGCACCAGGCAGCTCCCCAAAGAGCTGATCTGCAGCTTAAAGAACACACTAAGTCATTTAGCAGTAGCATTCAGGCTGGACTGCTGAGTGTGTGAATTCTGTCCAAACACTGCAGATGTTTAAGCTATTTCCTCCCAGAGTTTGATGGAATAATAAAAGGTTACTGTTGTCACAGTAAGGAGGTCTGCAGCTGGTCCCATTTCCTTTTATTACTATCCAATGTAAACAGATTAAATCTAACTGCTCGGATCACCAGAAGGGTACATTTTTAAACCAGAAACTCCTGATTTCTTCTCTCTCCTCCTGTGCCCTCAGTACCTTGTTTGTTTTTTAATCACTGGGACTATCTTGGCAATGGGGTCCTTTCAAGAAGTGAATGCTGCTTTTCAAGTTCATACTCCCTTCCCAGCAGCTAGGCACAAACTGCAGCAGGGAGCAACCCTGGGGGCCAACTGCCTACTGGCTGTAGCAAGGAGATGGCTAGAGTAACTCAGGACAAGTAGGGGCTCCCCCACTTTGGCTAGCTCCCTAATGCTGTGAAGTCACTTACCTGTACCCCAAGAGCTCCTGTTCTTCCAGTACACAAAACTCCAGAAGCCAACTGGCTGCTGGGAGGGAGATCTGCTGAGACTCCATCTATCCAGCCAGAGGTGAGGGTGGCATGTGGAGGGCATTAGTCACTGTATGAGTGTTACTACTAATAAAGAACAGCCTTGAATTATGGGGATATCATCCAGATCAGGGATTTTTTTTTTTAATACATGTAAAACTTCAGGTTTAAAACAAGCTTGTTCTGGAAGTCCACATACAAAGTGACTCAGAATGGAGCTGCTCTGGCTACAGGGACCTTGGTCCCTTTCTCTCCTAACTCCTTATGTCTGATGAGCTATCAAAGAATACAATTGTGAAAGTCACCATGCAGACAGCAGAGAGGCTGAGAACCTAGAACCTATCTGAGGCCACATGGCTATGAGCAGCAGATACAGGTCCAGCATTTTCCTTACCACAGAGCTCTGCTTTTATACCTGCTTGTCTTTAGATCCAGAGGTCTTGGTCTTAGCACAATCACCTCAAGCTTTCATGAAGAAGAAAAAGCTACAGGACAAAAATGAAATCATATTATACCTATAAAACTGTGCAAAGGTGTGAAGGGACTCTGATAATCCAGTATAATAACACCTAGAGGTGATGAGCTACCACAGAGCACCCAAGTGCTCAAATTGCATGGTTCTAAACATGATAAAGGCAGCTGACAGCATGGGGGAGATGGGAGGGGGGATGGAGGATTTTTTTCTTTCTTTCTTTTCTTTTCTTTTTTTTGGTTTTTCGAGACAGGGTTTCTCTGTACAGCTTTGCGCCTTTCCTGGAACTCACTCTGTAGCCTAGGCTGGCCTCGAACTCACAGAGATCCGTGGTGGGGAATTTCAGGAAGAATGAGGCCCCTCCAACCTGAGTCCCTGCTCCCACACTGAGAACTGCTCTGGGGTCAGAAGCAACAGTCCCCTTCTGTGCTGCTCAATGATTCAGTGGCTTTAAGTAAGTTACAGCCAGTCTCGCTTTTCTGGGACAGACTCACAGCAACCCTCCAGTTCTGCCCGTAAACTTAATTTCTACGGCCTCCACTTTTTAATAAGCCATGAAGTGTGTGCATGTTGGGGGTTGGTGTGGGCTAGGAAAGGAATTCCAGCTTCTATCTGCTAGACCTGGCTGCTAGTCCTGGCCCTCCCACTTCCAAACTCAGCCCTGAGCAAGCTGTTGACCTTCTCAGAGCTACTCTGATCACCTGTGAAACCAGAGGGAGGCACTGTGAAAGCCAATGAAAGAAAGGTGTAAAGATTGTGAAATTGTAAAGTGCCTTAAATGTGAGGTATCTGTGTTATTACAAACACAATGGAGCAGCCATGTTTTATGGCCTTGGGAATTCTGCAGTGACTCCTGTCAGAATTCACACAGCCTTGCCACACTAGGACACAGGCTAGCTGCACAGTGTGTGGCGGGGGTTGCCTCAGGCTGGTGTCTAGCCACCTCCCTTTGCCTGTGTCTGGAGAGAAACGATGTCACCAGACAATCCTCTAGCAGCGAGCGTAGGAAAGTCAAAGAAGGAGCGCTGACCCCGAACGGAAATGGCTGACTTGCCGCTCTAACCTCTCCTGACAAAAAACGGCAATGAGACACAAACACCATTCTGCAGGAGGAAGGGAGAGGAGATTTCAGCTGCACAGAAAGTGCTGAAGGAAATTAAAACGGCTAGTGTGCTCTGAAAAGAACTCTCCAAAGATGCCGCTGGTTACCCCGACGTTTCCAAGGCCTCCCCGGTGGCTTCCATGTTGGCTTGTTCTGTGTGGAGGCCTCTCCCAGTCCAAGACACTACTAATCCCACAGTGTCTCACATCATCATGGTGTTGGATGGGAGGAAGGAAAGCGTCCTGACAGACCCAGATGCTGAACAAGGCAGAGCTGTATTGGGCAGCTCTGCCACGTGGGCTGAAGAGGAGAGCTGTGGGGCCAAATGCTGAGGGGAGGCTCTTCTGCAACAGATTAGGGGCAGGAAAACTGCTCTTCGTTACCTGACCAGGTCCTCATGCAACCTCCAGAGTGATCTCTGAGTGTCGTCCCTAACCAAAGACCCTATGTGAAATGAGCCAGCTCACTTTCAGAAAGGTGCATGAGTGAGTCGGTGACACACTACAGCACAAGCAGACTCACTGGCGTCGGTGACGACACACTACAGCACAAGCAGACTCACTGGCGTCGGTGACGACACACCACAGCACAAGCAGACTCACTGGCGTCGGTGACGACACACCACAGCACAAGCAGACTCACTGGCGTCGGTGACGACACACTACAGCACAAGCAGACTCACTGGCGTCGGTGACGACACACCACAGCACAAGCAGACTCACTTGCTCTAACTCTCCTTTCTCCAGCGCCAGCTCCTCCATCTCTGGTGTTGTCTCGTCTTCCAGGAAGGGATTGGTAGACGGTGGTGGGGACTCCAGCTTTTTCTGTTAAGACATGACAAAGAGGTTATTTTCTGAGCATGAGCCTTGCCAATGACCTACTTTATCCAACTCTTCCTAACAGCTGGATCATTGGATCTGTCCTCATAACAAGAATAGAGGCACAGGGACCACATTCTCATCCGCATGTCTTCATATTCCTCTTGTACTTTCTAGAACCTGCACTGCCCACCCTACTCCAATTCTTCTTTTAAGACAGGGTCTCTCTATACAGCCCTGCTGTCCTAGAACTCGCTATGTAGACCAGGTACCTCTACTCCAATTCTAATCTGGCTAAAACTGTCACTCATTCTTTACTCTTTACTTCAAAGGTCCCTTCTGGGAAGCATTCCTCCTCATCTGCCAAGTTTGGGCTACATGTCCCTGCAATGTGCATATCCTTTATGGGTATTTATGAGGCTGGGCATAGTTGCCTGTGCTGTAACCCTAATGTTATAAGGTAGAGACAGGTGAATCACAGGAGCTTTCTGGCTAGCCTAGATAAGAAAGTGAGTGATCCTTTCTCAAGGGAGTAAGACTTAGAATTCCAACATCCTCCTCTGGCCTCCATATGTAAGTGCACACACATCTGCACATACACACATCTGCGTGCACACATACACAGACACACACACATGAGAGACAGGGAGTCAGACACTTTGGTGGCTAGAATCATGTATGTGTTGGTCTTCATTGTATTTTTGGTGACTTTCATGTAAACACGTGCTCAATAAATATGGATGAATTCAAATGGCAGATGGGTTTGAATTCAAGAACTACAGAGCTAACCTCACATGTTGTAGATTAAAGCCAGAAGTCCATTCCCAAGTCAAGTCCCATTATAATGATCACAACAGAAATTTCCTTGAGAAAAACTCTCTCAGCTCTGGAATGAGATAACTGTTTGAAAATACATCAATAAGGGGGACCACAGGCTACTGGGAAAACTGAGGGTAGGAGATGTGGGTTCTAGCTCCAAACCATGCAGCTTCTCTGAGCTGCAGGAGCTTTATCTGCCGAGTGTGGCTATAGTCACAGGACTACTCTGAGGATCAAGTGTAGTGACTGTGTGAAAGCCAAGCAGAAGCACACGAGTATGGGCTCACAATCCACGCGAACCTTGGGAATACTTGTGATTTTTGAACAGAGGTGTCTTCCACGCTTGGGTGCTGAGAGTCTCAGCAGAAAGGAATCTTGAACAACAAGCACGATGCCAGGGTTTGCTTGGTGGTGTGGTGAGGGGTGGGTCCTGGAGACAGGAAGTTAAGCGGAAAGGGAGTTTCCAAATGTATTTGTGACATTTTAGCATCTACCAGTAATGAAAGATGGTGTAATCGCTAAAACCAAGAGAAGGGCCACAATTGGACGACAGTGTGAATGGCTGCCAAGTGCCCACATCATCCAAGGTATTACAAACAAAAACCAAAAGTGAAGCCGGGCGGTGGTGGCGCACGCCTTTAATCCCAGCACTCGGGAGGCAGAGCCAGGTGGATCTCTGTGAGTTCGAGGCCAGCCTGGTCTCCAAAGTGAGTTCCAGGAAAGGCGCAAAGCTACACAGAGAAACCCTGTCTCGAAAAACCAAAAAACAAAAACAAAAACAAAAAAAAACAAAACAAAACAAAAAACCAAAAGTGAACTTAAACAAAAAATCAAACCCCCTGAGGTATCTGCTATGAGCTTTAAGATAATTCTGTTTACACACATTTAAACTACTAAATTCTTATCCGAGAAACATTTGGGTACTGTTTTGTAGTCAGACAATGGCTTCTGTACATGAAGAAAGCCTTGTGATTGTGATAACTGTGCTAGCTTAAGGTAATCATTACTAAGACAATGGTTTTTGCAGAAAACTGGTGAGAAACAGTGTAGTCGAATGACCAGGCAAGCATTTCAGATCTGCACCATTGCATGCTAGCTTCTTGGCCTGCTGTGGTTCGTGTGTGTGTGTGTGTGTGTGTGTGTGTGTGTGTGTGTGTGTGTGTGTGGTATTTATACAATATGTGGGTAATATATACATTTATAGAAATTTTTAGAAGTCTGTGCTCCTAAGCTTTAGTTGTCTTTTTAAGGTTTGCTGGTATTTGGCCAGGCATGGTGATACATGCCTATACTCACAATACCCTAGAGGCAAAGGTAGCAGGATCTCAGGATCTCAAGTTCAAGGCCAGTCTAGGATGCATAGTGTGTTAGTGAATTCCAGTTAGAATCCAGTCTGGGCTATCCTGTGAGTTCTAGGACAGCCTGGCAACTTAGTAAGACCCTGTCTAAAAACAAAAAAGCAAACAAACAACACTGCTGATATTTTAGGGGGAAAGGAATAGTAGAAAAGAGAATTTACCAGGCCTAAACTTCAACAATTAGTTAAGCTAGGCATGCTAGTGGGACCTGAAGTCCCAGCTTTTTGGAAAAGTGAGGCAGGAGGATCTCTTGAGCTAGGGAATTTGAAACCAGACTGGACAACACAAGAGTTCATGTCAACAAAACAAAACACAGATCCCTAGCTGGAGATATAGCTCAGGGTTGGAGTTTTTGCTTAGCCACAGTTACTTGGTGAGTTCAAGGCAAGCTTGGGTTACCTGAGATCCTGCATCAAAAAATTAAACACATAAAACAAGTGAAAAATTAAATTAGTTAGAAGCCTTATATTCACTTACTAGCAGGTTTAGGGCCATACTTCTGAGTGGAGTTGCTCTGACTGAGTCTCCTGGTGCCAAGAGGATATGGAAAGCAGGTCCCTCAGCTGAAATTAAAGCCTTGCTCTAAACCATTCCACGACAGAAACAGGATCTGATCTTTTATGGTAAGTGTCCTTTATCTACTACATCTTGACTTTTATACAGCTAGGCTTCACTTTTAAAGCACAATGGAATATTTATTAGATAAATGAAACAAACAAAAACCCAGAATCAATGAAATGGACTGAGAATGTTCCTGAACTCCATGTCCCACTGGAGAAAGTGTCAAACGAATGAGCAAAAGTAAGAAGAAGGACAATATGAAAGGCTCTATTGAACTCAGAGCAGCATGAGGTGGGGTCCTTGGACTAGAAATCCCCTGAGTTCCCTTCTTCCATCCACATGCTGATGAAATCACAGACCAGAAGCCCCTAGCACACTCTTGGGGCATGCACATTCCAAGTGTAGACTGCATTCCTCCCTTCATCCACTCAGCAAATGGATGTCCTGGGTACCTGGGAAAGCAACGAGTAAGAGAGACTTGTTCTGCCCTCCGTCTGCTGAGAAGCAGGCTTTAATCAGCCACAGAAGCATGTCATAATGGCCTTGAAAAGGTAGTTGTTATGAAGACATGCAGCAGAGGGTCAAAACTAAATTCTGGAGACAGAATTGAGGGCTGCTTTGGAGCTATCTGAGGGTGAGAATTGTGGGGTGGAGCTCTTTCTGTACTTGAGCAGCAGCATTCACTGGGCATGCAATGGACATTAATTATGTGGTCTGCACCCTAGTCCAGACTCCCTGACCTGCACTGGTGATGCAGAATGAATAAGACAAGGAAGAGAGGCACTGTGAGAGGGAAATGAGGACCAAGCAGGCTGGGACAGGGAAGAGCAGGGGATGTAAATAAGAAAGCACTAACAACAACAGTCTTGGGGGAGTCTGCAGGGTGGATGGGCAGAGGTGTGAGGTACAAGGCAGAGGGTCAGTCAAGTGCCTTTTGTAGGCATGGTAAGATTTTCCTCTCATCACAAGAAAGTGGCACTGAGGGTTTTTAAACATGGAAGTAACAGGTACTAATTTGCTGTGGAATAATCTTTCTGTACACTGTGAAAATATATTTTTCTCATTGTTAATAAAAAGCTGATTGGTTGACAGCTAGGCACAATTTTCAGGGCAGAGAGAATGCTGGGAAGAAGAAAAGTGGAGTCTCAGAGTTACAAGGGGTGCAGAAGCAAGATAAAGGTGCTGTGTTGAAAGTAGGTACTGCCACGTGGCAGAAGATAAATAAGAAATGTGGGTTAATTAAAAATGTAAGAGTTAGCTAATAACAAGCCTGAGCTATCAGCCAAGTATTTATAATTAATATTAAGTCTCTGAGTGGTTATTTGGGAGCAGCAGCTGCCAGGACACAGAAAAAACTCCACCTACAAATGGTGCCCAAATGTCTGGTACCTACAGCCACATAAAACCTGAGAAATCTTAAAAAAGGTTTTTAAACACACAAAAACAGAGCCAAATGTAGCTTCCTAGTCTTGTGTCTCTTATGCCAGCCTTAGTACCCAGCATCTTCCGGCAGCTGCCAGCATGCCATGAGCTAAAGCTGCATGGCAGATTCCCGCAGTCTCTCACACAGGTTGTGGCACAGAGAGGCATCTCCCAGCCCCTGCCTGTGGGCTTGAGCCGCCAGCTCAAGCTCTGCCAGTACACTTCATAGCAGGTTAAGAGTTTTGCTCATGCAGACAGAAGAGGTTACAGATGCTCAGTAAAGACAGATCCAGATGGAAAAAAAAAAAACCCTCTAAACAGGTTATAATGTGTTTAAAAATGTACAAAGGTTTGAGAGAGAAAAGAAAAGGGATATAGACAGTCATTAAAAATATACATATAGTTTTGCCAGGCAGTGGTGGCACACGCCTTTAATCCTAGCACTCGGGAGGCAGAGGCAGGAGGATCTCTGTGAGTTTGAGGCCAGCCTGGACTACAGAGTGAGTTCCAGGAAAAGCACAAAGCTACACAGAGAAATCCTGTCTTGAAAAACCAATATATATATATAGTTTTAAAATAATAAAGTCCTTAAAAAGGGAATAAAATAATATTTTTAAAAGCCGCATAAAGAAGGGAAATACACAGAGAGTCTAGATTCTGTATGTTATTGTGTTGTCTTTAAATTTTTGACTGATAATGAATGAGCAATAACTACTAAGAAACATTGGATTATGGAAACTGATAGACTAAACCAAATTATATATTTTAAAAATATCTTGACTTTAGAATGGAAGTCAAAAAGGTATGTTGCTTTGGGAGAGAGGTTATGCTTTTATTTCCACAGGA